TTTCTTAGGTGTTTCATGTAGCAAAACCATTTCTTACACTGAGGTCATAAAGATATTTTTCTATGGTGTCTTCTAAATTTTAGAGTTCTTCTTTTTTGCATCTGAGTGCACTTGGAATGAGCTTTTGGGTACAGACTGAGATGGGGGTTGCAATTTCACCATGTTTCTTTCACTGAAAAGCCTAACATTTTTCAACTCACCTAGAATGTTATTGGTGTCACTAATCCAATTTTCATTTATATGAGGGGCTGCTTCTTGGCTTCCTGACCAAATTGTTCCTTCTTTGCTTCAGAGACTAAATTTCTACAGTTTAATAATAAGTATCTCTCTTTTAAAGCATGTGAAATGTCATAGTTATTTCTGGTGCATTGTTATTTCCTATGGATTTTAGTGATAGCTTACTGAATTCTATTTCTGAATTCTTTAGAATTATTTTTACTGAAATTGCATTGGATATGTAAATCAACTTAGAGAGAACTGACTCAATTAAACTACGGAGTCTCTAATCCATGAACAAAGTTTCTTTTCCCTTTCATATAAGTCTTCAATAACTTCAATAAAATTTTTTCCCATAAAGGTCTTGTCTATGTTTTGTTAAGCAAAATTTTGCCTTCTACCAAAGTAATTAAAATTTATAAATTATATTTTCTCTCTGTAGACACACTGAAATAGATGCTATTTTTACATTAATTATGTCTAGTAAAGTTGCCAAAATCTTATAATATTTCTAATAATTAATGTATAGGTATATTTGAGGTTTGATGACCACACTGCCTGCAATAATTTTTATTTCTTCCTTTCCGATTTATTTCTTTTACTTCTTGCCTTCCAGCATGTCAAAAACAAGTAGTGACTGATTTTCAAATATTAAACCATACTTGAATTACAGGCTAAACTCAACTTGGCTATAAAATCTCTTTTACATGTTCTTGTATATTATTTGTTAATATTTTGTATAGGGCTTTTTGTTTGTTTGTTTTGCATTGTTTTTATGAATAGGATGGGCCTATAAGTCTTCTACGGCATCAATATTTGGTTTTGGTACCAAGGTTATACTTCATCACCCCATACATCTCACACTCTCAAGGTTTTACTGCATTCCTGGTATTAGAGCTGTACCACTTTCATTTTTGTCTTCTGGAAAAAGTTACATACGACTGGAAATATTTGTTCCATTTTGGTACAACTGACAAAATAACGGGGACCTTATCGTTCTTTCCTTTTTCTTTTTCTTCTCCTGTCCCTTCTCACTTCCTCCCTGAACCTTCCTTCTGCTTTTTGTTACTCATAGTGATTTCGTTCCCTAGCTTACTTTGCAATTGTAAGCTCATTTTTCTTGAAATTTTAACTTTTACGCTTTGATTGCAGGTGAATGGCTTTGAGCACCTGAGTGGCCTAGTTAAGTGTCCGACTCTTGGTTTTAACTCAGGTTGTGATCTCAGAATCCTGAGACTGAGCTCTGCATTAGGCTCAGTGTGGAGTCTGCTTGAGTTTCTCTCTCCCTCTTTCTGCCCCTTCCATTGCACTCTTTCTCTCTCTCTCTCAAATAAATAAATCAATCTCAAAAAAAAAAAAAAAGATAAATGACATAAGAAAGGACATGCTTTTTTCTCTTGAAGTGTACCATAAATTCAGGCTGCTGTGATTACACTGTCTCAGAAAAAATTTTTTCTTCCCTTCCACCCGGCAACAAGGTCTGACAGTGGCAATTTCTCATGTGGTCTTTGGAGTGGAAGATTTATTTTCATCTTACAGAGTAGTATAGCCCATGAGACTTCAGCTTTATGATGGAGTTCTCCAATTAGACATCCCACTTTGTCTGGGCCTTGGGCTTTGTCTACTATAACTCAAAGCAATACCAATTACAGTTTCATCATAATATACAGAACACTTAGGATAAATGTAACATTATGAAAGTGAAAGAAGTCAGACATTAAAAAGTATGTACTCTATGGTTCTGTTCAAAGGATATTCTAGAATTGATAAAATTAATCTATAGTGTCAGAAAATAGATTAAATGGGGACGCCTGTGTGGCTCAGCTGTTGAGCACCTGCCTTTCACTGCCCAGGGCGTGATTCTGGAGTCCCAGGATCAGGTCCCAAATTGGGCTCCCTGCATGGAACCTGCTTCTCTCTCTGCCTGTGTCTCTGCCTCTCTCTCTCTCTCTGTGACTCTCATGAATAAATAAATAAAATCTTAAAAAAAAAAAGAAAATAGATTAAATGGTTTGGTTTGGGCTGGGAGCGACTGCAAAGTTCTGTAAGGAAACTATCTGAGGTAATGAAAATGTTCAGTACCTTGACTGTGGTGGTGGTTATTCATGAAACTGTCTACCCAAAATAATACATTTAAAATTGGTGCATTTTATTGTATGTAAGTTATCCTTCATTAATGTTAACTTTAATACCTGAATAATGGATATATAATGATAAAGAAATCAAGTTATCTACTTAAGATCTACACATTTTATTCTATGTCAACTTTATGTCAATAAGTATTTCTGTAAAGCCCCTTTTAGAACTGGAATTCCAGAAATCCATTAAGAATTTTTACCACTACCCTTATTAGTATCAATATCAGTTTAAATGGAATCCTTACCAGACCTCTAAACCTCCATAATAAGGCTGCTTTAGAACATTGGGGTCTTTGGTCAGGTCACCATTTAGTTCTTATTGCTGATGAAAATGTACTTTTATGGCTGACAGCTATTGGGCAGAAGATGGCTATCTATGCAATATTGATCTTGACATTACTTAGGCCACTTCAACTATTCTGTTTCTATGGCACGTTTATTCAGTTATGACTAAAAAGAAGTCATGTCAATATGAGTCACCAACTTCCTATTTCTAAGATCCAAAGGTTTTCAAAGAATGAAATATATATATTCACTTTTTCCTGGTTTTACATTCAGACAATTTTGGTGCAGTGTGATAGAGATTGGGTCTTCTTGCAAATTCATGTTCTCTCAAAACAATTAAGATGTGGAAGCAAAAGCCCATGGAAAGGTGCTCAATCCCAAAGTGCCAAAGGACAAGTACAGATTATTTCTCGGTCCCTACCTTCAATCTCTTGTCTTGCCATGCCTTTTACCCATGACTCTGTGCCACTCTTCTCTCAATATCTTAGATTATGTTTCTAACTAAATTTTATTCTCACTCAACTCTACTTTCCAATTCTCATCTTAGCATCCTTTGAGTGATTCAATTCAGTTCAATTTCTTGGCTTCCTCTCATCTGCCCAGTACTGTGCTCATGACAGTGTGTATTAAAAAATCAACCAGTTATTAAAACCTGTCATTGAAAAGATTACAGAGTAGTGGGGGATATTTTTGGGTAAATGATGACATAGAGAGATACACGTAGTACTATTATTGACTTCTACAGAAAAGAGTCCCTAGCTCAGCTGAGAAATTTCAAGAAGGCTTTGTAGAGAAAACACACGAAACCTAAACTGAGCCCTGAAAGTGAACAGGATTCAAGGGCATAGAGGGCAACCAAGAATGGGTTCAGGGAACAGTACTCCAAGAAGAAAAGACCAAAGGAGCAGAGGCATGGGGAAGCCAAAGGATCTCGGTAGCCCACTGGAAAGTAAAGCTGATAAGGTCCATCTTTACTGAGCTTTCTTGCTTTTTATAATTTTTTGCTAAAAAATTATATTCAACTTGTAAATGTTCTCAAAGTTGGAAAAATCCTGACATTTGTGTTTACTTCTGTGACTTCTCTCAAGTCAAACTCTGTGATGCATCATTGTAATATAGAACTGTTCTAGCGTGATTTCTAAGACATACAAAGCTATACTCTCAAAGGAATTTAATGGCCTAGGAGAATTTGGTAGAGTTTATTTAGTATTTTATACCTTACTCATGAATAAATACCATCACAATGTGGTGGTTGGAAAGAAAATAACATGAAAACACTGAAATCACTTGCATTATGATAAACAATATATAGAAAATGAGTTAAAAAAAGATGACATTATTTAGGGCAAAGGTTTCTTTTCTAACCTCTATCTTCCCTTGACACTATCCATCTTCCTGTCTGTGCTCAATATCATAAATAATAATGTTTTTATATACAAAGAATATTTCTAAGGAGGGTCCTTCAAGAATATTTCTAAGGAGGATGTCTACCACCAGAGGATAGTGTGTGTGCTTGTGTGTGTATACAGAAACAATGCTTAGGCTAGATCAAGCATGATAAACAGTCTTCAACTAAAGGTTTTCCAAACATCTTATGATTCTGGGTTTCAATGACAATGACCAGTACTGTAGATTTTGGGATCACAAACTAAAGGATGTAATTAAATTCAATGATGCTAACAATCCAGTCAAATTGGAGTCTATTAACAAGTTGTTTCAAAGGTTTTATATTTCTCTTATTCTTCGGACTCCTCTCATTACCGTAATCCAATTTCCATTTTAAATATACTTCCATTTTTAAGCTCTTCTGTTACTGGCAGCTAAAGATAGTGACAAGTATTTTATTATCTGAAGTATAATAGTTTTTAGACATTTTGCTATGTCCACCACATAAGTCACGTAAATAAGTAGTATTATAATTTAAAGATACGAGTATTTATTTTGAAAAATGAAGAACTTTGTATCAAAAGATTCTTTTCTAAAAAAAAAGTACTGGGTTTAAAAACAATGTGTACGCTATATGGTATATACATCATACAGCCTTGTTGTGGGGTATCTTTTCCTTCCCCTTTAAAATGAATCACAAAATATTTAAAGTGTTAAGGGTTAACAACATCCATGGTTAAACATTAGAAGAGTGAGTACAACTTACAGAACCTGCAACTATAGACTATGTGCTATATTTCAGAATTAAATACTATTTTCAAATGATGATTTTCCAACTATTATTCAACACACAATACATACAGCTCTAGAGTTCTTCCGAGCGCAAAGCTAGTTAATGAGACACACAGAGTATTTAATTTCACACATGAAGCAGAAAGGTGCAGATAAGCATTAATTTCCACCAAAAAAACAAACCTTAAGGAAATAGTTGTTATTGTTATTGCTGTTGCCAGACACTCCTTGCAATTCAGCCACAGTGCTCTAAAATGGTTGACAACAAAAATTAAAGATGGCTTTTCCCCATTAAAGAGAGCAGCCTAATGATAAACGGTAGAAAAAACACTGAAGTTCTGGTGCCTGCTATAACACACACGTTTGAGAACTAAGAGAATGCCTCCCACTCTTAGTTTCTCAACATTATGAACAGTATAAAGTCAATTTACATTATTAAAAGGCCATCCATAATAATTGCAATCTCTTGTTCATACAACACAAGCTGTTTCCAACCAGGAACAGCAAACACCATGAGTCAGATTTAATGTGATCCCTTTAATGCTTTTCGCTTAAAAATTATATTCTCATAAACCATTTAACACTTATGCAAACCACAGCTCCATTATATTTCTGACTCTAATTATTACATGTTAACACAAGCAATAAGAATGCATATCCATGTAGGTAGCTGCTCTAAATTGTATTCAATACTTTAAAAGATTCTAAAAACTAATGTTCTCATGATATAGTTATAATTATATTAATTTCCAGTAATGAAAAAAAATTACAAAAGTGAGATTAAATTATGTTTTAAGAGAAGGGGCCTCAGTTTCTAGAGTGATGATTAACCTTGCTAGAAACTAGTGCCTGAAGAGACTTTGAAATACCATATAATCTAGGACTTTAAAATGTAATAATTATCATATTTTAAAAGCATATTTAAAGAAGCAAGCCAAAATAATCCTATAATTTCAAAGTGCATGTAAAACAGTTTATTTTAGTGTGAAGGATTGTATGCATTTTCTAATTCAAAAAAGTGGTACAGTACCATTTCATACTTCATTTCTAGTCTGAGCCCACTGTATTTCACATTGCATAATGATCTTTGATAGAAACATATGCTCAGAATTTACACACATGACCCATGCTACACAAAGCATATACCAAAATTACAACATCCCACCACTAAAAGGTCAAACATTGATAGTTGTGGAGTATGACAGATTAAATTTGTTATTGAAAATTAAAATCTAGTTGAAAAATTTACCATACCCCCAGAATTTCGTGAGATAGTGCTGACTGTGTGAGGGGCTTATTGAAATCCTCCATCGTTACCTTCCAGATTGTTTCAAAAAAGAAAGAAAGAAAAAAAAAAAGAAATGAACAATAATTCTGTTATCCAGAAATGCAATTGCTAATTACAGATATATTCAGATCTACATTTTAAATGTTTCAATTGCTCAGATTTAATTTTTCTCTCCGTACAGGATTCTCCCCCTTATCTTTAGCCTTTGGGCAGAGCCCTTTTATCTTTTTTAAAATCACAATGTGTAACAGAGAGTAAACAGAAACAGGAATGTAAATTAAAATTCATTTGGCTGTTTGTTTATTGTAAACTCCTCTAATTTAAACATTTGAGGGGAAAAAACCAAAATGTAGACATTTGGGGGTTAAAGTTTGGGGGTTATCTATATATTTTAAATTCTATTGGAGTACACCTTACAGTTTCCTAAAGCATTAAAACAGGTATATGTAAGCATATACAATACATGATAAGGTCTTCTTAATCCTAAATATGGTTTTGATAGAGAACTACTGTACTTTTACAATTTCAGGATATATTTCTCATGTTGCAATATTTTCCCCAAAGGCAATTCAAGCAAGCAACTCCCCTCTGTCAATGTGACAAGTGCCAAGTTAGAATCAACCTTGGATGATTTGACCAAAACCAGAAGCTATCTATCCTTTAGTAGACAATACTGATCTAAGCGCTGGCTCTGGAAATTAGTTGGATGAACTCAGTTGTTCTGCATTTAATTAGAGGTTTTCCTAGCTGGCCCAGGGAATGTCACAGGGGATACTGTGAAATAAAAATGATTCTAACCTTGAAATTACAAAATGATTCCATAAATGATAAGAAAACTGAGAAGCCAAATGATTGATTACACAATTCAGGATTAATAAAGATACATAAATCAACACATTGTTCAACTACATATAAAATTAACTCAGTTATTCAAGGTCATTTACCCATTGGATAACCAATGGTTACTGGTTCTTCTCATCCTCCATTATGTCTCTTGGAGATTTTACTTTTCATTAACAGAGAGAAATAGAATAGATAAAAATAGGACATACTTAACAATTATTTGGTAGCATAGTAAAAAAACGAATTTATATCAGGTAAGTAAAGTGTTTATACAAGAGTGAATTTTCATTATTTGTGCAGCTTTCATCTCTCCTATGCACAGAATATTAACAGTTGGTTTTAGCTGAGCATGTTTTGCCAACACACAAGAAAGGGAGAGAAATACAAGTCAGAGAGGAGCATGAAAGAGAAAAAAGAAAAAGGCTCCTTGACCTTTCCAGTAAAGTGAATGTTACTTGGAATAGCAAGCATCTGATTTCTATTTCTACAACTTGAAGACAGAAGAAAAAGTTTAACCTAAAGTTTAATTTTAAAAAAATCATATACTCAATTATTTTTCCCTTTAAGCCCTATCGTCATAGGATACTTATGGATTATTTGCCTAGAATAAAATAATTCTCCAAGTATTTAATTCCCCTATTATTAGAAATACAGAATAAAGAATCATAGAACCTAAGTATTACAAGAAAGTCCATCACCCAAAACAGGAATCCTCTTTCCAACATCTCTTGTCACCCAGTTATTCTGTGTGTGCCTGAACAAAGACAGACCTATTAGTCCACTCCATTCAAGAACAGCAATGTGTTGTAAAGAGTCCCAACTTTGGAGACAGGAAGACCTTTTTCCCATTATAAATCTGCCAACTACTAGCTATATGACTAGAAAAAGCCTCGTTTGCTTCATTTCTAGAAAAAAAAAATCTCTTCTGTGTGCTGTAAAGATTACATGAAATCATGTAGGGAAATTCACCTTGCAAAGTGCCAGGCACTGAATATTTATTTACCTTTCTAGTCCTAAAAATATCTGCTCAGGTGACAATCAACTCTGCTTTCCTTATAAAAACTAGGCAAACAAAAAAATTCATATGATATACTCCTAGGTATAAAAGTTGAATAACAGAAACTCATTTTTCATTTAATTAAATTACTAAATTAGAGAAAATCTTACATCAAACAAACAAAAAGCTTTAGAGGCTTGAGTTGAAAACTTCTGGGACTGAATGTGACCAATTCCTCAAAATAATTGGAAGAAGTATGTAGTATGTAGCAGGTGATCTAAAATTTTCACTTGGAGAGCTTTAAGAACTATCTTATTTTCCCTTTTTCCTGGCTAGACTTGATGTTCTGTTTCACAACTCACAGCATATTAAAAGCTAGTGAGAATTCAGAAATTTAGTCCAGTCTCTTAAAGCCAAAGAGACTGAGGCCCACAGACTGTCAAGTTTGGCTTCCTCACTTTCCACCACTTGATGTCACCCGAACTCCCCTGAATCTCACATCCAAATTCTTTCTAGCAGAGCAAGCAGGTAAAAACCAAACCTGCAGAGAGCGATTCTAATATCCTAAAAATAGGCATGCAGCCAAAGCAAATCAGTGTCTGATAAAACACAAAACATTAGCACAGAGAACTGAAGACGAAGACGAAAATGTAAATACTTGAGGAAATTGTTTTTGATTTCTAAATCCAAGGTAACATTTTCATACCTTATGTCTCAGTATAATAAAAAAAGTACTAGTTATTTCAAATGGTTTCTGCAAGTAAAAAATTAAATCAACTAAACAGAATTCTAAGAGACTAATTCATTCACCTGAAGACTCTGTAATATTTATTCTCTGATCAAAAGTTAGTTGATGCACTATTTTTAGTTGTCTAATAAATAGAGAATAAATTACATTAAACTACAAACACATAAAAAATTAACATGTTTGGGTTAAAACATTCCAGACTAAAAATACATGAAAATATTTCAATGTCTGTTTATTAATCTTCACTATGTCCTGGCTAGAAACCAAAAACAAACAAACAAAAAAACCCAGAAAGCTCTGGAAAAAGAATATATTTAGATGAGTAGAGATTGACCATATGAAGTTGTACTGTCCTTATATCAGCTGGTATAAATAATGTATGTTTTACCTGAACATTTACTATGTTTATGGAGTATGAAATATCTGATTAAATTATTGATAGAATTTTGACATGCCAATATGAAACAGATGCATGTTTAAACATGTTTATAATAAACCATGTTGTCCCATTATATCAATGTACATTTGGCATTTACATTAGAAATAGACCAGCATCTGTATTACATTACAACACACAAGGATTCTGGAGAGCCATTTTCACTTGGGGGTTAGCTTCTACTCATTTACTTGATCTTCTGCAGAGAGCAGGATGCAAAATTATTCCAATATGTATCTACTCTATGGAATATGTGCTGGTGGAAAGCTTTGTTCTGCATTATGTTAGCACAAATCACAGTGAGCAGATCCAAAGAACTTTCTCTTCCTGGAAAAAAGAAACCTGAAAACACCCAGCAATTTTTAGTACTTTTCTATGTGTGTTTGTGTAAGTATGAGTGTGTTTTTTCAATCAGAATGTTTACTAATTTTTTTCAAAAAGCATTTACTATAGAAAATTGAGGGAGAAATTGAAAAAAATATAAAACAGAGAGAAAATCACCAAGTTCCAACAAAAAAGACACCTATTATTTGCATTTTGGTGTTTTTACTCTTTTTTGTTTCTGTGAATTTAATACTGTGGTAAAACATGACTTATTTGATCCCAAAGTCTTCACACTGTCAAGAGGATACCATTCCTTGATTCATAAGTTAATAACAGATGTAAGTAATATTTCTTTTGTGAGGTTGAATGTAGACACATTCTTCTTGAGAAACTGCAAAGAACCTATCATACTTTTACACGGTAAAGAGAGTTTTGTAAAGTAGGAACGTCATGGGAAGAAAGGTAGGAAGGACTGTTGCAAGCATGACTTACCTCGTCATCGTCGGCGTCATACTGTGCATAGTGCTGCTCCAGCAGCTCTCTCTGGCGCCTTTCTTGTTCCAGTGTTTGGCTTATCAACTGGGCAACCTCACTCACTTGTCCTGGTTTTTCTCGCCCAATAACAAATCTGTAAGAAGGTGAAAGGAGACTAATATAGTTGGATTCTCCAGCAAAAAGAGTACTAAGAAAAGTAACTAAGCTTGATAGCTCATCATGGTCCATCAAACCTCAAGAAAATAGTATCACATCTATACTCTAAATGTTATGCCTGGATGGAAGGGGAGGTTAGCTGAGCAGCTAAACAGGTTATTTTAGACATACTCTCAAGGAAAAGAAAATGAAAAAGTGAAGGATGATTTTAAAAAAATGGGGCACCTGGATGGCTCATTCGGTTAAGTATCTGGGCTCTTGATTTCAGCTCAGGTCATGACCTCAGGGACCTGAGATCAGCCCTGCTTCTGGTGAGCATAGGGCATGGAGCCTGCTTAAAGCCTCTCTCTCCCTGTACTTTTGCCACCCCCATAGCCCTCAACCCCCCACTTGTACACCGCTCTCTCTCTCAAAAAACGCTCTCTCTCTCAAAAAAAAAGTATTACTTTGGGAGAAAACAGAAAAGATGTAATCCATTCTACAGTACTTCACACATTTTTGATGCTCTACAAAGTGGAAGCAAACTCCTAATTTCCTGTACAATTGAACTTGAGAATCGTTTCCCTAATACTGTCCTCCTTACAATGCAAAAACTGCTTCAAAACTATTCTGGGGAATAGCATGCCTTAGGTGGGTAAATAAATAGAGGCATTAACTTCTGCTAAGTTACTATAACTTTGGAGAAAAGAGAAACAAATATAGGTCTTGTTTTTGTTTTTAAAAAGAAAAACTAAAATAAGGAGAGGTCATGAATTTGATTTCACTTTTGGAGAAAAAGATGGTTAGAGGAGAGATGTGGTTTCAAAAAATAAGAGACAAAAAGAAATATCTTATTATTAATTACTGCTTAAAAAAGTATAAAGTAAAAACATGGGAAGTCATTCATTTATGGCAAGCTGCAGTCACTTAATGATACATCCTCATCAATACTATGTGTCTTGCTCAACAAATTAATATTCACTTCTTAACATCTTTTCACACTAATACGTGGTTTTATTTCTCTAAAAATACGAGTGGCAAAAATTATTTAGTTTCTATGTGTCATTTAATTTCGTTATTTTGGATGTCACTCTTTGTTTAATCTTGTTTCTATACTTAACTGATGTTTTTTCTCTGATTATAATGTATTGTTGTATTAGATTATAAGTTTAAATGAAATATACCACCACTCTCTGTACAAAATCACTGAAAGTCAAAAATTTTATACTTACGTGCTAGTAATTAATTGTCTCTGTAGCAATATTTTTATGTAGTTCCAAACAGGACTTTGTACTTATGCTTGGATGTTCATTTATCATTTATTTTCCTCTGGGAATCAAGTATAAGTAGAATTTGCAAATTCTGTAATTTTCATCCTTATTCAGGTATAATTTACACATAATAAAGTATATCTATTTTAATCGCACAGTTTGATAAGTTTCACAAAGGTAACCTGTAATCACTTCAATAAAGATACAGAACATTTTCATCAACCTAAAATATACAATTTCCCTTTCTAGTAAAATCACCTTCACCCTGGGCCCATATTCTATTTGTTTTCACTAGAGTTTCATATAAATGTAATCATAGAGAGTCTGACTTTTTTGGCTCACTATAATGTTTTGGAGACTTATCCATGCTGATGCAAGTATTAGTAATTCATTTATTTTTATTACTGAATAGTATTTCATTGTATTGGATGTGCTACATTTGGTCTATCTATTCTTCTACTGGTGGGTATTTGAGTTTGATTTTGGATTTTATGATCAAAGTTACTATAAACATTTTTGTGCAAGTCTTTGTGGGGGCATACATTTTAATTTCCTGTAGACAAATAACTAATAGTGGAATTTATAATGTGTGGCAACGTATGTTCAACTTTTAAAGAAATTGCCAAATTATTTTTCAGAGGGGTGGTACCATTTTGTATTACTACTAGCAATGCAGGAAAATTACAGTTGCTTTACATTCTAACCAATACTTGGTACTGTCTTTTAAAATTTTAACCATTTGGGATCCCTGGGTGGCACAGCGGTTTAGCACCTGCCTTTGGCCCAGGGCGCGATCCTGGAGACCCGGGATCGAATCCCACATCGGGCTCCCGGTGCATGGAGCCTGCTTCTCCCTCTGCCTGTGTCTCTGCCTCTCTCTCTCTCTCTCTGTGTGACTATCATAAATAAATAAATAAATAATAAATAAAATAAAATAAAATTTTAACCATTCTATTGAATGGTACCTTATAATGGTTTTAATTTCCAATGTTTTGATGACCAATGACTTTAAGTATCTTTACAAGCACTTATGAGCATTCACAAATATTTTTCAGTGAAATACCTTTTCAAATCTTTCACCAATTAAAAAACTGGATTGTCTGACTTTTTATTATTGTCCTAGAATAGTTCTTTATATATTCTGGATGCATATCTTTATGTATACTGTATATAATAAATACACATAGATACATATATTCAAATAGTGCATGTGTATCTCTGATTTATTATCCTTTCCTAGTCTGTGGTTTACCTCTCAATTTTCTTAATTGTGTCTTGCAAGGAAGTCCAACTTACCACTTTTTAAAAGCTTTATACCTTTTCTTTCCTATCTAAGAAATCTTTGTCTCACTTAAGATTGCTAAGATTTCTCCTATTTTTCTTCTTGAAGTGTTAATGTTTTGATTTATATTAGGTCTATAATATCTTTCAAATTAATTTTCATGCACAATGTTTGGTAAGGGTGGAGTTTCATTATTTTCCACATGTATAGCCAGTTGTTTCCACCCCATTTATTTAAAAGACTATTCATTACTGCCACTGAATTACCTCAGCACACTTGTTGAAAATCAGTTGATACTATGTACTTCTGGGCTGATTTTTGGACTTTTCCAATCTCTTCCATTTATATATCTATCCTCATACCACACTGGCTTGATTACCATATAATCACTTTTGAAACTAGGTGGTGTGAAGTTTTCCACTCTGTATATCTTTTCCAAAACTATTTTAACTATTCAAAGTTATCTATTTTTTTCATATAAATTTTATAATCAGGTCATCAATTTCTTTTAAAATCCCACTGATGTTTGATTTGGGATTGCTTTGAATCTATAGATCCATTTGTGGAAAACTGACATCATAATATTGAGATGATCCATGAACATGGTGCATCTCTGCATTTATTTAGATTCTACTTTCTTTCAGTAATACACTACAATGTTCAGTGCAAAGTTGTAGCTACACTTTGTTAAATTTATATCTATTTCATGTTTTTTCAAGTTACTGTAAGTGGTACTGATTTTTAAATGTTTTTAATGGTTTGTTGCTAGAATATAGAAATATAATTGATTTTTGAATACTGGCCTTGTATTTTTGACCTTGCTAAATTCATTTATTAATCATAGTAGGCTTTATAGATTCCTTAGAATGTTTCTATATGTAAGATCATATTCACTATGAAGAGATTTTTATTTCTTCTTTTCCTACCTGTTTGTCTATTTCACTTGGAGACAATCGGTTTCTACGATGGAAGATACATAAAGTCTTTAGCATGTCCAACTAATCTAGACATATAATGACTATCTAGAATTCATTCTATTTTTGGTTAGCAGTCTGAAAGTCAGAAATGATGTCTAGGAATATAAACATTAAGCAATTAAAGAAGCTCATATCCTAGAATGATAGATTTAAGAAAATCTAGATTCATCTTTTATGTTTCTTCAAATGCATAACAGAGTGAGGTTTGAGGGAGTATCACATACTATAAAGCTGACGGAGGAGTTTGAAGGAAGCAATTAATGTATAAAATGCTATTAATTGAAGACAGCAGTCAAGCTCAAAGTAAAAGATAAATTAGAATTACATTCATTTAAGCCATAAATTCTTTAAACTCATTTGAGAATTATATTGTCTGATCTTTTAGTTGAACAGTTTTCCCTAAGAATGGAGAAGTTTATTTCTTCTGCAAAGCAAACGTTTAAAATTACTCTGAACACAATTCAGGGGTGAAAATGATAAGACTTTGTTCACTTGCCAACAAGTTAGAACCACTGCTAATGTCTCTAGAGGTGAATGAAGGAGTCTTAAGAAAGAACTTGTGAGAAATTTTTAAGCAGAAAATTATTTCTAAGACACAAATTAGAATATTATGGTATATCATATACTAATAAAGTATATAATCATATAATAAACCAGAATTCCAATAGGACATGCAAGCTTCTTCCTGCCCTCAAAACATGATTTCCAATTCCAAACCAGAGTTATTCGTGATGCTAAAACTAAAAGGAACAAATCAACGTGTAATTGAAATTTCAGAGGAAATAAGAATTGTTCCACATCGCATAAGAAACCAACATTTTAAATCATGAAGGCCTAGTTGCTCAAATCACAGTGTGGCTTTCTGAATTTGTCCCTACAATTTAACATTATTCACTATTTCTCCAATATGAGTTTGTATTCAAAATCACTGTACAGTCTTAAGAAATAAAAGTGATTTCTAATTGTATATAAAATAGACAACCCATCTCATGAAATATACTTTTTAAAGTGCTTTGTTAAAGTACACATCTCTTCATTCAGGGAGCTGTTTGGGGCAGCGTTATAGCACCTAGATACACATATCTCTAAAGCCTTGTAATCCAGTGTAATTTATAGTTCATATGTGCATTAGGAGAATGTCATCCTGGTAAGTATGGTTCAGAGGAAAAGCACAAGTGGAACTAAACTATTCTCCACGCCTTATTGTCCTCATGTGAAAATTGGTACCTACTTCATGTGTCTAAAGGAGTGATAAAAGAATAAAATGTGGTATAGACGGGAAAGGACATTAGGCACTATTACTATGATGATGAAAGTAATAAAAATCTCCCATTTGGAAAATGTGTAAGATTCACATTATGTTTCTATATGTTCTTAAATGTTTGGTCCATTTTTAAGATGTCTTTATAAAAGGACTCCTATAACAATATGTGCACAATCTGGCACATGTTGAAATGAGCAGAAAATG